GATGTATACTCGTATCTAATACAATTGACATAGAAAGTTCTCCACAGACAGGTTTGCTATCCAAAAAGTTCTCTTTATATTTGTACAGATTTGAAATTACCTTACGTGTATATGCAGACAGAATTATGAAGAACCAAGGTTCGGATGCTCATCCCAATTATCATTTGAGTTGCAGGAAGAATAAGAATTAAGTAGGTCATATTTGGAGTCGACTATCAGAAATTAGAACATATTTTCTACAGTAATCGGGATTCAGCCGTATTTTTGGCTTTCCAATATCAACATCATTTTCTTCTAATAGTAGATATTGAAAATCCCTTGCCAATGACCTTGTATGACTTTATACTCGATATTGTATACCAGGTGGCTTTCAAAACATATAATAATAAATAATAGTCTACTTTCGATTGTTATATAAACGGAATCTAGCATTTTCTGCATGGCGGATCTGCTACCAAATATTTCATTTAAGCTATTCAAATGCTAAGGTACAGCTTTGTGCCGAAATCATGCAAATACCTGCCGGGTAATTCAAATCCGATATCCAGAATGAATTATCTGAAAACATCTATATGCAGCCTTGCCATATAGTGGCGGCTACGTATTATTAATTGAGGTGATAACGTAAATCTACACTGCCTTTCTTTGGAGTAATGACTAATGATGATAAAGCCTATTTGACATTTTGATATCTAACCACAATATTTCTCCACATCTGCACATATACGTATTGTTAGCTAGAATAATAAAAATCGGGTCATTCATCTTAGGTATTCAAGCACATTCGTCATCTCATCTCAGTTAATCGATGCAAAACAATGTATTAAACACCAAGCCCTCAACTTTCTCCAACATCATCCTATAGTCTCTCCCAACCGGTACGCCTATGACCCCAAAAGGTGTCTCGCCTCTTTGGGTATCGCGAAAAGCCAACTGATCCTACAACGCTCATCATTTGTCCGCTCGCATGCATTTTCCTCGTACGCACAGTTTACCGGTAGTTGTTTAAAAAATAGTTGATGTGATTTGGTGAGTGGTCTTGAAAATATTTTTGGTGTTTGCCGGATGTGTATAATCTGATATCTGTCCTTGGTATGTGTAATCTTTCGAAAGTGCCCTGAGAGCTGGATTGCCGCTTTACCTGTATATCTGCAGGTTGCCGAGGTTAGTTTCTCCATTTCATCGAAAACATTGACCAGTTAAGAAAGATCTGACCATGTTCCTCGTTTTTCGATTATTTTACTCCACGTATATGACTTTTTGTTGTGATTTTTTCAAAATGTTTATTTGAAAAATAGTTGCCTTGCCCTGGTAAGCGTTTCCTGTTAGGTAATTTTTAAATAGCTTTAAGATAAGGTTCGCGACTTTTCATAATGACTCATCGTATGATGAGGATAGTTATCTGCTTTCTGCTGAAGATAGCAACCTATATACGTGTTCCCGACAGATACTTGCGCCATCAGTGAGGCACTAGCAAAACACAAAAATGAATTTAGAAATCAATTTTAAGAACAGTTAGACTTTTTGGTTCTGCTTATGTCGCACAGATCTTCAATGCATTTTTAGCCTCTATAATACCTGTTTTAATTGGGTATCTTCAGATGGAATACCATGTATGAGACAGTAGCAGAAGCAAACACTCTTTTCAAAGATTTTTAAGCCAACTGTGTGTTCTGCTACTGTATCATAGGTGGCGCTAATATCTTTCTGGTTGCCGAAATACAGTACACAGCTAGCCATCTTCAGGTAGAATACGTTCAGTAGTTACATTCATTTCTGTATTTCCAGGCAAGAATTTATCACAATTGCACAGTGATTGATTTTACCGGCGGACAGATTCGAATTTTTTTCAGTATCAGCGCGGCCATCGATGAACATCAGGAAAAGAATAACAAGGCTAACTGTAATTGGAACTACTCGGAGTGCATAGCTAGTGTTTGCGACTGAGAAAAATGTTTCACAGTATTTTGATAACATCGTAGTACTTTGCGCTCAAAAGTGCGCACAGCAGCTTTTTTCTACGGCACCAGCAGCAAAAATTCAATTTTCAGTATATATGTTTTTTAAGTCTCAAACATAAACTTAATACCCATTCTAATAGCGCAAGACAACATACTAAAAGTAATCAACCTACGGGATAGAGATCTGCTTGAGTTGGCAGTTACGTATATTCTTGGTTTCTATTTAGCTTCTACTTCCTACGCCACTAGGCAAAGAAATTATATATACTATGCTTTTTGGATGTTATATGACATGTACATCACGAAAAACGGTGTTACTAATTCCCATTGGTCTGTTTGTCGATCTGTCTGTCCGGTAATTCTTCCTCGTCTAGATTTACAGCAGCCCGCAATCGACAATTATCTCATATTACTTAAGCTTAATTAAGGTAAGGTTTTAGCCGTAACAAGGATGTCGAGCCGAGTGGTATCGATTTTAATTCATAAGTTACATTAAATACACTCAAAAAGACGATATTCTCTTCTGAATTCGTTAACAAAACGTCTTAGACCAGGGTTTCCCAACCTTTTTCTTTTGTTGAGACTCCCCGGACTATAAATTATATTTTCATGTCCCCCTTACTATTTCAATAAACATAAAAAAACGCACATTATACAGGGTGACTTCGAAGTTGAGTCATTTATTTTAACAGTGAGTAGATCTGATCAAAAGAAATGTTTTTTTCCTTTAACATTTTTCTGGTAAAATTAAAGTAACAAAGTTATAGCCCTTTAGAAGTTTGAGTACCGCCCTGTCTCAATAATAATATTATGTGTTTGGCAACAACGGATATCGGTTCATCGCATCGGAAACAAAAAAGCGAAAGAATTTGAAACGTTTATCACGTTGTTTTTCGTCAGTCGGTAACGCGTGGGTGAATAGTGATGTTTGTTGCGTGACTCAAACGAAATGAAAAATGGCACATGTTTACGAAAATGCTGAACTTGTGGACATGATTCTTCTTTACAAAATGCTGCCGGATGCATCACGGATTTATGCGAATCGGTTTCCCAATCGAGTGCAACCAACCCCTCGTGCCATTGTTAATGTAGTACAAAAGGCTCGTGAATCAGGTGACTTAAGACCTCACAGGTGAGAGCATGCCGGTGCTCCAAGACCGCACGATCAAATACAGGTCCGCACTGAAATACTTGTCGGGAGGATACTTTATTAAACAAGGTAACATTTTTTTTTTTATTTTTTTTTTTATTTTTTTTTATTTTTACACACATATTTTGGTTTATCTTCCTTCTACAATCATTATCTGAAAATTAATGACTCAACTTCAAAGTCACCCTGTATAGGTACAAAGTATTTTATTTTAATTCTAATAAATAAACTTTAAAAGCTTAAGTAAACTAATAAATGTTTTTTATCGAAAAACTTGCTTAAAATAAGAGTAGGTACTAATGAGACACTTGAGATTGCATGTTCTGTACCAGTTGGTTGATTCTACTAGTATTCGTGAAGCAAGAGAGGCAAGTGTCGAATTAACAGGGAATCTTTTGATCCAAACTTCCTCCAATGTTGAAAGATGGAAGTCATCTTTCATGGACGAATCAGCCTTTATTTCTAGAAATTTTTCCTGAACTTCTTCTGGTAATTGTGGCACAAATGGATCTCTTGTCATGTGCCATATTGGCGACCCTGAATTGATGTCTTGATAGTATCGGCGAAATTCGTCTTCCAGCACTTGCAAATGAGTTTTTATGTCAGCTTTTAAATTTGCTTCCAGTATGTTATTTTTAATAATAATATAATTTAATAATAACAGAAGACACTTGTTGATTCCAAAGTTGAAGCTTTGATATGAGCCCCTGCATATAATCATAATTGCTTATTACAGTGTTGTTTATAAATAAGCAAAATACCTACATGTAAGGTAATTACTAATTATATGCTCATTATTTTATATTTATAACGTAATGTCTTCAACAGTATATTGGTCAACGCAAGATTTATATTTTTATAGGCAGGTTGACGTCATAATAGGAATTTTAAATACATTTGGAATCAATATTAGGTACTTAAAATTCGTCGTTTCAAAATTATTTCGCCACATTGGTTTGACTGTGATGTGGATGAACGGGTCTCTTCTCAATCAACAATTTAGTAAATTAGATAAAAATGGCAACTGAAGTTTGTAAATACCCACATTTACCTTTTAACAGTGAGACAATAATTTGACGCACCCAAACAGATTTCTCAACAAAACATGTACATCGTAACCTCAAATTTTTCGGAAGTTTGTGGGAATGAATGTCACAGGTGCTGATCCGCGTCTGGCAGGTACAAAATTGTTTGATGAATGTTGAGCGGATCGCGGCGGGGGTGCGCGCGGATTTCATGTTGTGACTTGTCGAAACTTGTATAAACTACAATTGACGACGCCGGGTTTTGAAACAGCGTTTGACAGAATAAGTGAATATGATATTTGATTTATAATTTTATGCGTGTAAATTAAAGATTACATTGTAATGTTATTTGTTAATGTTGTTTGTTTATTTTTTGTTGTCCCCCTGGTTGGGAACTCCTGTCTCACACCAACCGTCGATGAAATAATTTATGATCTAGGACGGTTAGATCGAAGAACAATAACTATTATAGTGGAATTCAACCTAGGAGTTAATTCAGCTTGTCATATAAATATTATTCTTTCGTTATATCTTCCCAGACGATGGCATAATAACCAGAAATTCACTTTTCATCGGTGGACTCAATCAATAATAAGATACCTATTTCTAAGCTTACAGACTCCTGGCGAGCTTTTGTGATACCTTGCATTCCAAAGCGTACCCGACTCTCAGCAAAGAAACATACTTTCTCGGCGATTATAGGAAAATTATTTGAACAATTTTATCCAATCACCTAAAACTTTGGCTCGCCAAAAGACCCTGATCGCAACATTTTGGGACCAGTTCTCACTTTCGTCAAATATCAAACCCTAGACTGCCTTTTTTCGGTTATATTTGCCTTACAGTTTCTTTGATTTTTTTCAGCCTGTTTCGTTACCAGAATAGCAACAGCCGTGGTTTTGGTGGTGGCCTTCCTGGACAGTCAGTTTTCTTTCTGTTCTATGCAGTCTGCACCGAAGCCACAACGAACGAAGAAGCTCAGAAGGTCCAACGAACAAGTTTCAGATATTGAGTACATTATACCAAGGGTAAGTGAACTTTTGTAGTAGGCAAAAAACGATGGGCTAGTCAAACTAAATTAACATAAAAAATCATAAGAATATTGAATCGATTAAAGTCAAAGAAATATTACTAATGCAGCGTCATTTATTGACCTGCTGTACCCTTGTCATGTCCGAGACGTCAAACTGAAAAACTTACGTTCTCCACTTTACAAAGAGCCACGCACCATTTTTATGGGGGATTTGTTTTATCATTCTTCAAGCAAGGCTGAACAAATGTTTTTTTTTCACCAACTCGACTTGAAGCAATCCAAAGGCTCCCGAAGACTTAGAACTTGGGTATGGCTTATACTGCGAGACCATAAAATCGGTTCTTCTTTAGTTAAGTATACGATTATTATTGCTAGTCGTGTCGATATTTACTTCCATTTTACCCCTTTTATCCTTCAAAGTCGGAGGTCTTAAGAGGAGTATTTTTTGGAAAGCGCGATTAATTATACACAAGAAAAACAACAAAATTATCGGGGGTGAGAGAAAATATTTTGATGAATACGACACTTGGGAGAAAGTCAGTCACGTGGTAAATATAAATGCTTCTAATCGACCGGTGAGGGTGTTATAAGGGAAAACGTAAATTTCTAGCATAAGCTCATTTTCTCAGCCTTTAGTTTTAATTTGATAATGGTTTTTTACTTAGTATCAAAATTGTGGACATGTAGCTTTAAAAATGGAGAACAAGGTGCTCTTGTTAGTTGAATTTCTTCCAAGGTTGTGGAGTGTAAGATTTGTGGCTAGATCCCTCTCTAGACTAGTAAATCGTAGGCTTTATATGAAGTTACCATTCATTTTTATAGTTTTTCCAATCATAAACAAAGATAGATGATTTCTTTTTGTCAACGTGTGACCAGCACGTGTTTTGCTTTCCAATTCTCAGCAGTAGGTATATTATGAATTATACATTGAATTTGATCAAGGTCTTTAGTGTCTTAAGCAGCTCCCACCATTCTGGGAGCGGAGGATGACCACAGTAATATTCATGAATTTCTTCCCGCTGAGAAGTATGCGCATTTTGCAATAGATTAAGTTTCTCGCAAGATGTTTACAACTAGTAATGTATTAAATATCCCGCATCGTGCCTGGGCGAAAAATCTAAATACAATACTGTAGGTAGTCATATGCTTTTTCGTCAAAATTATGGAGGCAGATGCAAAGTTAGCTGCAGCAAATGTAGCGGCATTGATAATCCATAATCCTACTATGGTTAATAGACATTGAGATCTTTTTGCTATCGGTAAGAAATCTATATTGAAAATTTGAATCTGAATTTCATACCACTAACTTTGCAGGTATTAGGCAACCTTCCATCAATGATATGATATCGAGAATAACTATATTGAACAAGTAGAGTCAAGTAAGTTGCCTATATCAACTGCACGTCAGTGTTTATACGTAAAATCATTAGAAATATGCCTGCTTTAGAAATTCTGAATCGCCAAACGATTTTTTTTTTTACTTTGCCCTGTAAACTCTAAACTAAAATTATTGGCAACCACTTTATTAGCCCATTCTTCTTGCCGGAACGACTTGACGGACAGACTTACCTCAATTTTCTTCAACAACAGTTGCCTTTGCTGCTTGATGATGTTCCGTTAGTAATCAGAAACACTATGTGATACATGCATGATGGTGCACCAGCGCATTTCAGTGTAGCGTTTCGTAATTATTTACAAATTGTTTATCCAAATGGTTGGACTGGTCGCGGTGGGCCCCAAGAATGACCACCAAGGTCCCCAGACCGCAACAGTTTAGATTTCTTTTTGTGGGGCTATCGTAAGACACTAGTGTACGCAAGTCCCATTAACACTGCAGAAGAATTAAGAGAAAGAATAGTTGCAGCTTGTGATAGAATAAAGAACACTCCAGGGATATTTCAACGAGTGCGTAACTCCATGAGAGGGAGGGCGGAAGGCCATTTTCAACAGTTTTTGTAAACATTTCGTTGGTTTTAATGTTATGTTCATGTTGTCAGTTGTTGTTATTCATTAGCCCTAATGTGTTTAATTTTTCCAATTAAATTAATAATAATTTTGTAAGCTAGATAATAGAACGGTTTTTATTTTTTTACTCAAAAATGGCGGATCGTAGGAAAACAATTCAAGAGAGATCATTTGTTTTGAATTGAACGGGTAATTCAAAAATAATTTTTGTTTGACAAAAAACCTTGGCGTACCATTTTTTTCTTGAAAAATATCGAAGTCAGTACCCGTACGCACGCCACTGTTGAAGCTAAAAATTATTTTTGCATTGAAAAATATGTAAAATTATTAACTTTCACTACATACTAAATATCAATGAAATATCTGAAGCGGTTCTGAAAATATTAATTAATTTCCATTTTTTTTTCCTAAAACTTTTGTAAGGAAACATTTTTGGATCATAGTTTATAAAGCAAACTAACATTATCTTTTCATGTAGATTCACATCCTTAAATATTCGCATATCATTATGGTCTCATCATTGCTACCACAGACTTCCAATGTTCACGGCACAAGGTTACAGATTTGATTGCCCAATCAAAAATTGGCAGAGCCTGCCGACTATGTTTCTTTCTTCCCTGGTATTATCTACGAATATTGCCTAACTACACGCATTAAGCATATTATACCGATGAAAACAAACGATCGATAATACAAAATGACGAAAGCATACGTCGAATTTCACATGGAATTAATGACATAACATCAGCTTCACGGAAATACGTGCGAAAATTCCTTTTAAACGGGTCTTCCGCAACGAAATCGCTGGCCGTTTTCACAGCTTTATCTCTACAACACAGCAGCGTAGATAAATTATTTAAATGGTGTTGATTTTTGTTTACGTAAGTTTGATTCAAAATCTCAATATTTATGTTGAAATACGTATTTATTATGATCTATCTAGACCCGTGATTCCCAAGGTGGTCCAGGTGGATCTCCAGGGGCTCAAAGGCGACTCAACGGTGTGGAAAAATGGGTCTTGCCAAACCATATCTTCGATAATATTAACACCCATAAGACATAAATGAGTAACTTCCTGACAAAGGTCTGTCAATCATTCCAATCCCCTTTATGAGCATGAGCATTCTAAATGTAGGTCTTCCAACTAAGTGCAGGTATTCCTCTCCATTTTCTTCTATTTTTTGTCATTCTATCATTGTTTTTGATTATCTGTACTCTGGCGTGTTTAATATGTTCATGTGATTCAACAAGAAACTTCAATTTAACTCTAAATTTCGTGTGACTTTCCTAGTTTTTCTCAGGCATCCTCTCATAAAATTTAATTCGACGGTCCTTATCTTGTCAGGCACAGCTTCGGCTCTATAAAGCTCAATCTTTTCCATTATACCGTGAAAGCGTATTTTATTTGTATTTTTTGTGTTAATTTCATTCCATAATAAACCTGTCTTTTTCCCCATTGCAATTCTCGCGTTTATGTCACTTTCACAGCTACCGTCATTAGCGAATAGTAATTGAACGTAAGTATTTCAGTTTATTACTTGCCTGGATAAATTGGTCGTCTATTAATACAGGGTGTAAACGTTATGATAGTCATTATTTAAATGGGTGAGAGGGGGTTAAAAGAAGCAAAAAGTTTCATATAACATCGGGGTCAAAACGGCATTTTTTTAGAGAAAAGCGACTTTAAAGTAAAATAAAATCTGACAACGCCAGACGCAAATTACGACGGAACGCAGTGTAAATAAAGATGGAGTTTGTTATTTTTGGCTCTTGGGTATTATTTCAATATTTGATAATGTACTCGTAAAATGCAAACAATTAAAAAAAACGGACTTACCACTAACTGTCTCACTAACTGGTGTGTGAAAGTTTATTGAACGTATTAAAAAAATTCACTTATAAATAGGGAACACAATTTTGATACATACATTGTTTTTTTTAAACCCACACTGCACTTTTTTTGTATTTAAAGAAGGTGTTCAAAATGTCGTCCTCCACTTTCACTCAAGCTTCATTACGACGAACCCAGTTTCTTCTTACTCTAGGTCCTCGAAGTTGTCCATTTATTATTTCAGCCGCATTAAAAATTTGTTCGCGAAGTTGTGCTTCAGTTGTTATTGGACCAGCCCCATAAACCATCCATTTAAGTTCTCCCCAATACCAGAAATCCATCGGATTGAGGTCAGGAGATTTGGCTGGCCATTTTCGAGTATCAGGAGCATTTCGACCGATCCAACGATTTGGATAATGTTCATCCAATACCGTCATGAAGAAATCACAAACTCTGTCTCCGTTGTAGTGGCATGTTGTCTAAGGTCTGTTCCAAAAGTTCTGGTAGGTTGTTGGCTAGAGAGCTAAGGTATCCTTCTCTTGACAACTTTGGGCGTAACTCGAAAGGGCCAATTACCTGATCGTCAAGAATACCCACTCAAATATTTTTTTTAAAACGTTGTTGGAAATGACCTTCACGAATATTATGAGGATTTTCTTGGACCTACGTATGAGTAATATGGAAATTTAACATCCCGTCTCGCGTAAAAGTACATTCGTCCGTCGCTAGAATGTTTTTAAAAAAATCCGGATTTTCAACGTTTTTGTGCAAAAACCACTGACAGAATGTTAGTCTGCGAGGATAGTCTTCTGGTAACAAGGCCTGCACTCGTTGTACATGGTAGGGATAAAGCAAATTTTCCCTTAAGACTCTATGGACTATAGTATGGGATAGTTCTACGCGAGTGCTGATATCTGCATTGATTTCCACGATATTTAAAATTTGTTCCTCCTGCTATACAGTACCCTGTCTTTCACGAGTGCAAATATTGGTGGGCTGAGCACTTCCTGTATCTGGAAGTCTTTGGTACACATGCACAAATGTCCTTCTGTCTGGGTGTACCCGCTGGCGAAATCTGTCGCGATAAATTTGAGCTGCAAGATTTGACGAGCTTCACCGTAAACTAATAACATGTCGGCGAACTCTTGATTCGAGAACATTGTAAATAAACACGACGACGTACGCGAACAAAAACAAAA